GAACCCAGCTGCTGCTGCCCAGTATAGGCCTCCAGACTACCACAGACTGCGCTGCAGACTGGGGCACTTCCTAGCTGAGCCTCCTTCCTTCTCTCCTTTCAGCTGCTCCTGCTCCACTGCCTGTTCCTCTCCCCTTTATCCTGCACTTCTGCTTCCATCTCAGCATCTTTTTCCCTCAAACCTCAACCTGACACCGTCATCATTATCATACTATTCATTTCTCAGTGGAGGAAGTAGAGCTCCAGGCAAGATGTAAATATGCTCCTTCTTTTCCCCCTTGATTAGTGTGTATATGTGATTATTTAGTCTTCAAAGATGACTTTTTGTTTTGTTTCATACTTTAGGTTCTGGGGTACATGTGCAGGTCATGAAGGGTTGTTGGATAGGTACTTACATGCTTGCTGCCTCCATCCCCCTGTCACCTGTATCTGGCATTTCTCCCCATGTTATCCCTCCCCAACCTCCCCACCCCCTGCTGTCCCTCCCCTGGCTTCCCCCAACAGACCCCAGTGTGGGATGGTCCCCTCCCTGTGTCCATGTGTTCTCATTATTCAACACCCACCTATGAGTGAGAACATGCAGTATTCTTGTGTCAGTTTGTTGAGAATGATAGCTTCCAGATTCATCCATGTCCCTACATAGGACACGAACTCATCATTTTTTGTGGCTGCATAGTATTCCATGGTGTATATGTGCCACATTTTCCTTGACCAGTTTATCATCGATGGGCACTGGCATTGGTTCCACGTCTTTGCTATTATAAACAGTGCCGCAATGAACATATATGTGCATGTGTCTTTATAATAGAACAATTTATAATCCTTTGGGTATATGCCCAGTAATGGGATTGTTGGGTCAAATGGAATTTCTATTTCTAGGTCCTTGAGGGAGCACCACACTGTCTTCCACAATGTTTGAACTAATTTACGCTCCCACCAACAGTGTAAGTGTTCCTATTTCGCTCCACATCCTCTACAGCATCTGATGTCTCCAGATTTTTTTGATGGTCACCATTCTAACTGGTATGAGATAGTATCTGAATGTGGTTTTGATTTGCATTTCTCTAATGACCAGTGATGATGAGCATTTTTTCATGTTTGCTGGCCTCATAAACATCTTCTTTTGAAAAGTGTCTGTACGTATCCTTCACCCACTTTTGGATAGGATTGTTTTTTTCTTGTAAACCTGTTTTAGGTCTTTGTAGCTTCTAAATATTAGCCCTTTGTCAGAGGGGTAGGTTGCAAAATTTTTTTTCCTATTCTGTTGGTTGATGGTTCACTCTAATGATTGTTTCTTTTGCTGTACAGAAGCTCTGGAGTTTAATTAGATCCCATTTGTCTATTTGGCTTTTGTTGCCAGTGCTTTTGGTGTTTTAGCCATGAAGCCCTTGCCTATGCCTATGTCCTGAATGGTTTTGCCTACGTTTTCTTCTAGGGTTTTTATGGTGTTAGGTCTTATGTTTTAGTGCAAGGTGTCAGGAAGGGGTCCAGATTCTGCTTTCTGCACTTGGCTAGCCATTTAATAAATGGCGTTTTCCCAACACCATTTATTAAACGGGGAATCCTTTCCCCATTGCGTTTGTCAGGTTTGTCCAAGATCAGATGATTGTAGATGTGTGCCTCTGAGGCCTCTGTTCTGTTCCGTTGGTCTATATCTCTGTTTTGGTACCAGTACCATGTTGTTTTGATTACTGTAGCCTTGTAGTATAGTTTGAAGTCAGGTAGCGTGATGCCTCAAGCTTTGTTCTTTTTGCTTAGCATTGTCTTGGCTATGCGGGCTCTCCTTTGGTTCCATATGAAGTTTAAGTGGTTTTTTCCAGTTCTGTGAAGGTCATTGTAGTGTTGAATTTATAAATAAACATAAATATTTATAACATTGAATCTATAAATAACTTTGGGTAGTATGGCCATTTTCATGATATTGATTCTTCCAACCATGAGTATGGAATGTTTTTCCATCTGTTTGTGTCCTCTCTTATTTCCTTGAGCAGTAGTTTGTAGCTCTCCTTGAAGGGGTCCTTTACATCCTTTGTTAGTTATATTCCTAGGTATTTTATTTTCTTTATAGCAATTGTGAATGGGAGTTTGCTCTTGCTTTGGCTCTCTGTTAGTCTGTTACTGGTATATAGGAGTGCTTGTGATTTCTGCACATTGATTTTGGATACTGAAACTTTGCTGAAGTTGATTATCAGTTTAGGGAGATATTGGGCTGAGATGATGGGGTTTTCTAAATATACAACCATGTCATCTGCAAATAAAGACAATTTGACTTCCTCCTCTCCTAACTGAATACGCTTTATTTCTTTTTCTTGCCTGATTGCTTGGGCTAGAACTTCTAATATTATATTGAATAGGGGTGGTGACAGAGGGCATCCTTGCCTAGTGCCAGATTTCAAAGGCAATGGTTCCAGTTTTTGCCCATTCAGAATGATATTGGCTGTGGGCTTGTCATAAATAGCTTTTATTATTTTAAGATACATTCCATCAATACCTAGTTTATTGAGACTTTTTAGCATAAGGGGCTGTTGAATTTTTTTGAAGGCCTTCTCTGCATCTATTGAGATAATCATGTGGAATTAGTCTATAATTCTGTTTATAGGTAGATTACGATTATAGACTTGCATATGTTGAACCAGCCTTGCATCCCTAGGATGGAGCCTACTTAATTGGGATGGATAAGCCTTTTGATGTGCTGCTGCATTCAATTTGCCACTATTTTATTGAAGATTTTTGCATGTATGTTAATCATGGATATTGGCCTGAAGTTTTCTCCTTTTGTTGAGTCTCTGCTGGGGTTTTGGTAGCAAGATGATGTTGGTCTCATAAAATGATTTGGGAAGGATTCCTTCTTTTTGAATGCTCTGAAATAGTTTCAGAAGGAGTGGTACCAGCTCCTCTTTGTGTAACTGGTAGAATTTGGCTGTGAACCCATTTGGTCCTGGACTTTTTTTGGTTGGTAGGCTATTACTTGCTGCCTCAAATTCAGCCCTTATTATTGGTCTATTCAGGGTTTCAACTTCTTCCTGGTTTAGCCTTGGGAGGGTGCAAGTGTTCAGGAATTTATCCATTTCTTCCAGGTTTACTGGTTTATGTGCATAGAGTTGTTAGTAGTAATCTCTGATGGTAGTTTGTATTTCTGTGGAATTGGCGGTGATAGCCCCTTTATCATTTTTTATTGCATCTATTTGATTCTTCCTTCTTTTCTTTTTTATTAATCTGGCTAGTGGTCTGTCTGTTTCACTGGTCTTTTGAATATACCAGCTCCTGGATTTACTGATTTTTTGAAGGGTTTTTTGTGTCTCTATCTCCTTCAGTTCTGCTCTGATCTTAGTTATTTCTTGTCTTCTGCTAGCTTTTGAGTTTTTTTGATCTTGCTCCCCTAGCTCTTTCCATTTTGATGATAGGGTGTTGATTTTAGATCTTTCTTTGCTTCTCGTGTGGGCATTTAGTGCTATATTTCCCTCTAGACACTGGTTTAAATGTGTCCCAGAGATTCTGGTATGTTGTGTCTTCGTTCTCATTGGTTTTGAAGAACATCTTTATTTCTGCCTTCATGTCATTGTTTATGCAGTAGACATTCAGGATCCAGTTGTTCAGTTTCCATGAAGTTGCACAGTTCTCGGTTAGTTTCTTAATCCTGAGTTCTAATTTGATGCACTGTGGTCTGAGAGACTGTTTTAATTTCAATTATTTTGCATTTGCTGAGGAGTGATTTACTTCCAGTTATGTGGTCAGCTTTAGAGTAGGTGTGATGTGGTGCTGAGAACAGTGTATATTCAGTGGATTTGGGTGGAGAGTTCTGTAGATGTTTATTAGGTCCTCTTGGTCCAGATCTGATTTCAAGTCCTGGATATCCTTGTTAAAGTCTCCCACTATTATTGTGTCATTAAGAACTTGCTTTGTGTATCTGATTGCTCCTGTACTGGGTACGTACATATTTAGGAGTGTTAGCTTGTTGCATCAATCCTTTTACCATTATGTAATGCCCTTTTTTGTCTCTCTTGATGTTTGTTGGTTTAAAGCCCATTTTATCAGAGACTAGGATTGCAACTCAGTTTTTTTTTTTTTTTTGCTCTCCATTTTCTTGGTAAATCCTTCTTCATCCCTTAATTTTGAGCCTATGTGTGTCCTTGTACTTGAGATGTGTTTCCTGCATACAGCACACTGATGGGTCTTGACTTTGTATCCAATTTGCCAGTCTGTGTCTTTTGACTGGGGCATTTAGCCCATTTACATTTTAGGTTAATATTGTTATATGTGATTTTGATCCTTCCATTTTGGTGCTAGCTGGATGTTTTGCCCATTAGTTGATGCAGTTTCTTCATTGTGTTGATGGTCTTTACCATTAGGTATGTTTTAGGAGTGTCTGGTACTGGATGTTCCTTTCCCTGTTCAGTGCTTCTTTCAGGAGCTCTTGTAAAGCCAGTCTGGTGGTGATAAAATCACTCAGCAATTGCTTGTTTATTTCTCCTTCACTTATGAAACTTAGTTTGGCTGGATATGAACTCCTAGGTTGAAAGTTTTTTTCTTTAAGGATGTTGAATATTGGCCTCCACTCTTTTCTGGATGGTAGGGTTTCTGGTGTGAGTCTGATGCGCTTCCCTTTGTGGGTGGCCCTACCTTTCTCTCTGGCTGCCCTTAGCATTTTCTCCTTCATTTTAACCCTGGTGAAACTGACAATTATGTGCCTGGGGGTGCTCTTCTTGAGGAATATCTTTGTGGTGTTGTCTGTATTTCCTGGACTTGAATGTTGGCCTGCCTTGCTAAGTTCTCCTGGATAATATCCTGAAGAGTGTTTCCAGAGTGTATTCATTCTTCTCATCATAATCAGGTACTCGATCAAACATAGATTAAGTCTTTTCATATAATCCCATATTTTTGAAGGTTTTGTTCATTTCTTTTCATTGTTTTTTCTCTAATAGTGCCTTCTCATTTTATTTCATTGAGTTGACCTTCAATCTGATAGCCTTTCTTCTGCTTGGTATATAAGGCTGTTGTAACTTCTGTATGCTTCGTGAGGTTCTCGTGTTTTGTTTTTCAGCCATATCAAGTCATGTATGTTCTTCTCTAAACCAGTCATTTTAGTTAGCACTTTGTCTAACCTTTTTTCAGGGTTCTTAGTTTCTTTGCTTTGGGTTAGAACATGTTCTTTTTAGCTAAGAGAAGTTTGTTAGTACCCACCTTCTGAAGCCTGTTTCTGTCAATTCATCAGACTCATTCTCCATCCAGCTTTGTTTCCTTGCTGGTGAGAAGTTGTGATCCCCTGGGGGAGGAGAGGTGTTCTGGGTTTTGGTGTTTTCATACTTTTTGCTCTGGTTTCTTGTCATCTTCATGGATTTATCTACCTGTGGTCTTTGTAGTTGGTGACTTTCAGATGGAATCTCTGAGTGGACATCCTGTTTGTTGATGTTGAAGCCATTTCTTTGTTTTTTAGTTTTCCTTCTAATAGACCCCTTTGCTGCAGGGCTGTTGGAGGTCCACTCCAGATCCTGCTTGTCTGAGAATCACCACAGGGGCTGTAGAACAGCAAGTTACTGCTAATTTCTTCTTTTGTTATCTCTATACAAGAAGGGTATCTGCCAAATGTCAGCACCTCCTTTATGAGGTGCCTCTTTGGATATATGTGGGTCAGAGCTCAGGTGCTGTGCTGTGAGCTCTGTTGTTCTGTGCAGAGTTGCCTGGCAGGCACGTTTAAGTTTACTGCAGCGGAATCTATAACCGCCTCTTTTCCCAGGTGCTCTGTCCTGGGAAGGTGGGGCTTTACTTACAAGTTCCTGATATGCTGCTGCCTTTTTTCAGAGATGCCCTGCCCAGCAAGGAGGTAGTCTAGTCCCAGTCTGCCAGGAGAGGTGTTTCTGAGCTGCCATGGGTCTTGCCCAGCTGCTGTGTAAACTTCCTTGCAGTTTTGTTTACAGAGGTATGGTTAGAACTGCCTCAGTAATGGCGGACTGCCTTGGTAGTGGCAGATGCCCTTTTCCATGCAGAGTTTGACCATCTGGGTCCAGCTGCACTTGCTGTGAAACTCTCAAGTCAGAGCATTTCAGATTGCTGATTTTTGTGGGGCAATCTGAAATACTCTGACTTGCCAAGCCAGATCACCTAGCTCCCTACTTTCGGCCCCCTCTTTTTCAGTTGAATGAGCAGCTCTGTCTCCCAGGTGCCACTTGAAACAGCCACCCAGAGCTGTGTGAGTTTTTGTGCGGAAATCCACGGTGCTGGCTTAAACAGCCATTCTGGAAGACTTGTGGCACTTTTCAGCCCAGGAATCTCCTGGTCTGTGGGTGGTAAAAACTGCGGGAGAGGCACAGTATCTGAACCAGAGTGCTAGAGTGGGTGGAAAAGACCCCTATGGCCTCCACTGCGTACGGAGGGGGGGTCCTCCAAGGATATCACTCCCCAGGTGAGGCAGTGCCTACCCTGCCTCAGCTTGCCCTTTCTGGGCTATACCCACTGTGCCACCAGTCCCATTGAGATGCAACTGGTACCTCATTTGGAAATGCAGAGATAACTCACATCTGCACAGTTCTTGCTGGGCACTGCACTCCAGAGCTGCTCCTATTCAGCCATCTTCTATGCTCCCTTTTAAAAGTTTGTACTACTATATCACTTCTCAGCCTTTTGGCTAAGACCAGGTGTAAAAGTCTGTACTACTCTTAGATTTGAGGTTCACGTGAAAACAGCTGATCAACATTTTAAAAGAAAATGTGAAAGAACTGTATGTTGTACTAGTTTGTAAAAGAGAAACAGTGCCATTTCTTCATAAAACTTAGTCCAGTGGGACCTGTCCATTCATTGCAAAAATACAAAGGTATGTAGAATCCTAGAAAATGAAAGAGAATGCTAAAGATGGGAACCATTTCCAGCATTCGTTGTTGAGGTCTGAATCTGGAAAGACTCAGAACGTATTTACCAGAAAAACAAATTTCCCTAGTAAGCCAATATCTGCAGAGCTGGTCATCACATGCAAATCTTGACCTTCACTTTTACGCAATTTTGGAACACATAACTGGTAAGCACTACCTACAATTTTTTGCTTTGCAGACGTGGAAAATACATCACACTGATGAAATTGGAGTTTTTAAATTTTGGTTTTGCCTTAACAAAATAAATTTGAATCAGATTCTTCATCTTCAAACATATTAGAAAAGGATAAAAGAATTTCTCTGTGATATTTTAACCCTTAGGAATAGCTGAACATGAGTATATGTATATATATAATTTAAAGAAGTTTAAATTTAAAGAAGTTTCTTTTCATGGCGTAATTTTCTAAAGGAAGGAGGGACAGCACTTACCCTCACTAGAGTCTTTCAAACATTCTGGCTTCTTTGCTTTGCTCTTCTTGTGGGGTGGAGAGAGGCCTTTTGGCTCTAACCCCTCTGGAATCACAAAGATTTAATATTCTTATTTAAATATTTACAAGTAGGGTTCAAAATTATGGTTAAAGTTTAGAAATGTTTTCTTCTTAGTAAATGTACACACACACTGAATCTTCATCACAGATTCATCTGTCCTCATGGCTGAGTGAAATTCTGGCAAAGACTTGTGGTTCTCCAACCTACATAGACTTAAACTTAAGGCTTACACTAAAACATTTTGTAGACACCATTAGTGATTCACACAAATGTAAAATCTTACACTTATACTTTTTTAAATTTAGAAATTCTCTATAAGGGAACCCTGTTAACTTCTTTTTCTCCAAGAGTTTGATACCAATCTTCAGAGATTGACGATCGTCATTGTGCAATTTCATCTTAGTCCTGAAAGCAGGGGTAGAGGAATGGAGAAAGTAATGGGGCTAGAACTTATCCTGCTTCTATTTAACAAACTGTTTTTAGTAATCCAAATTCTGTATGTCCCCAATTAAATTACTGTACTTCCTATTTTTCTCAATGCCTCTCTAAGTCTATCCATGGGGGCAAATAAATTCTGAGGACAGTGTCAAGAAAGCATCTCCAAGTTTATTCCATTTGGATATAGTGCATTTCACTAGGTGTTAACTTATGTATCTAGCCCTCATCTTCCTACTAAGCTCATGACTTATGTCTTCAACTGCCTACATGGCATCTTGTTTGGGATTAGGGACTAAATATCTTTTGCCCCTCTAGATCCACTCTCCACCATTCACCATCCCTGCTGTGCTCTGGCAGGCTGGATTTTCTGGATTGCACCAATGAACTCCCTGGTTCTTTGGGTTCCTATTAGGAGTAGCCAATGGGGAGCTCAGGGCATTTACTTTCTAGGCACACGGTAGTTTTCATGAGCTGGTTATATCCCTCAATCTAACGTTACAGACCCTAGAGTTGGCCTTCTCCACTTAGAGTGGCCCTCTAAGTTTCTTGGGTCTCGTAGCCACCTCCTTCCCATTGTCCTTGCAGGGCTGGTACTTAACCATGCCCCACACTTCACAGCCCTAATAAGTTCCCTGTACTCAGATCACATCAGGCCCTCTCAATTTTTTTGTAAAGGACCTCATCAGGCATTTCAAATTTAAAATAAGACCGTCATATACTGGATGTCTATAAGCCTGTTCTTTCCACAGTATGGCACATCTCAAGGAATGATATTACTATCTACCCAGGAATTTAAACCCCAAATAATCATAAGCCCTATCATTTCCATTCTAAAATAGATTCCATATTCATCTACTGCACTGAGCCTTTGTAATCACCATAGTAGCCCAAACCAGCAGCATCTCATAATCCTCTAAATTATAACCTCTGGATTTTTAATCTCCCTGCTTTTACTCTTTACGTTCTCTTCTACACAGCAGTCAGTGTGAGCTTTTGAAACATAAACAAGATCACGTCGCTCAGCTGTTTAAAAACCATTGCTTAGAATGAGATCCAAGTCCAATTCCAGGCCTAGCACAGCATGTCATTTGGGCCCCACTGAGCATACTAACCTCACCTCCCACTTGCGTTTGGCTCTAGCTTTGTCAGCTTCCCTCCCCTTTATGTTCCTCAACCACTGCCAGGCTGGTTCCTACCTCAGGACCTTTGCACCTGCTGTTCTCACCCCCACTCCTCCAACACACACATTCATAGGTCTGCTTCATTCTCGCCCTTTGAATCTCAGATCAAATCTCACTCTCTAGAAGGCCTTCTCTGACTGCCTAATCTAAAGGCTCATCACAAAGGAAATCTCTCTTAAACACATCACTTGTATCTGAAATTATCTCGCTCTCTGGTGTATCCCTTTATCCTATGACTCCTTCCTCATCTCATCCCCCAGAATGTAAATTCCATGAGAAAAGGGCACTTGTCTTTGCTAATCCCTCTTGTATCCCTGGTGCCTAGCAGCGCCTTGTGAATTTCATTTCAAATTCTATTTTATTTTTGCTTCCTCAGGGCTTTATTTAAGGCCAAGATATAATGGGGACCCTGCCTAATTCTCTCTTAGCAGCTGTCGCCTTCATGCCAGGATTCTAAAATCACATTACAGAGCTATAGCGACTCATTTCTCATTTCCCAGTTATTAAAAAAGGAACAGAACAAAAAACAAACAAACAAAAAAAACCACATTTGATAGATGTGTTCTTAAAAACTTTGGCATTATAACCTGCAAAGCTTTTGGGCACTAGGCTAGGTTTTCTGTGGTGGCAAGTCAGTCACAGCTAAGGTTATTACCACAGCCAAGGTGAAAAATTTTGCCAATGACTACATTAGCAACTCCCCCCAAACTTCTGTCACTAGGTGCAAGATGGATGTCAACCCTTGGAATGGGTTCAGCAAAAACAGAAATGAGAAGCTTGGAGCAGCTCACCGAGTGCAAATACTGAGTTCAAAGGGATTCATAAAATGGGCAAAGTGACACTTGCAACCTCCCTTCCCTGTCACCGCAATGTGTTGTCTGCAACTGGAATCAAGAAGAGCATTTCCAGTGCTGAAAATTCAACTCCAAACCAGCATTTCTCCAAACTCCCTTTTTGCGTTTTGGTGAGTTACAGTTCTAGGTCTTCATTTTCCACCAGAATGGGAATTCCTGGGGAGTGGGAACTATTTAAAAGGGCATCCATTTGCCCCTTTTTGAAATATCTAAGCACCCCCCAACACATTCATAGTTTATTTTTTGAAAAAGTTGTAGAGCACTCCTTAGGTCAGTGGGCATGGATACATGTTGAATATGAACATGAAACATGTTATATGAAATACCATTGTATCATTTCATGATAGCATGGGTAAAGTGTTTTGGGGCATGCAGATGAAAGTCAGATACATAAGGCCTCTGTGCCCAGGTTTCTACTTGTGGCTTGGGAAGAACAACTTTCCCTCTTGGCCTGGGGGAGTGAAGAAGAGAGTTGCTTCTACCTCCCTTCAAACGCACCCCCATACTTTTCCTTGACAATATATCATGTGTTCTAGCTTGCCCTGTGTCTGGCCCAGGGTGGAAACCTGGAGATTTGTCAGGAGCATGGATTTGCCCCGAGGGAATCAACTGTGCCTCCAGCTGTGATGTGGTTGAATTTCCATAGGTGGTTGATAATTTTTTGTCCTTGCTGGCTCTGATTGGGGCTAATTTCAATAGTGCATAGTCATGGACATGAAAGCACATGGGAAAACATTTGCCATGCCAGGATTAAGGAAGATGATGATTAAAGGACTTTTAAAAGGAATTCTAGGCATTTAAGCCAGTCTGCTGCTTCCACCTCCCAAGGGAGTAGAGCCTTCCCTTACAGGTGACCATGTCTGATACCATCTGAAATGCTCCTGCCTCTACTTACTATGAAAGTCTGGAGACAGGCGCAAGAAAGTGAAAGACCTGAACTTTGGGGTTAGGCACACTCAGATTCAAATTCTGGCTCTGCTACTTAAGCAAGGAACTAACCCGTTTTAAGCCTCCATAATACCAGTTCCTGCCTTATATATAGGCTTGCTGTGTGTATTAAATGAGTTGTTCATGCATGTCAAGTTATTGGCACAAAGTAAAGTGCATGCCCAATTAAAGTCTGGCTCAGCAGAGCTGTGCTGTGGCTGACCTGAGCCAGCTCACACCAGCTAATTGTACCAACTCTCCCCAGCTCTTGTATTCATTGACCTCATGCTTGGAAGCTGGAAAAAGAGTAGGTGTGTTTATGCTGTAGAAATCTGCAAACTCTTCAAACTGGGCTCTCCTTACCCAGAGAGTTAATTTACAAGCACCCCAGTGGGTTTAGGTATTCAAGTTATTTGCTGTCACTCATTAGCATGTTTTGGCCAGTTGATTCACTCAAGTAGCCCTTCATTAGTGTCAGTTGCATTTGTAAAAATCCCTCCAGCTTTTCTACTTGAATGAGAAGAATTGATAGAGGGCAGGGGAAAGGCTGCAGTTACTGGCCTTGGGAGGATGGTTCAGACTCATCTTCGAGATTGGCATGCTTGAGTGTGAGATCTGAATGAAGCCAGCCTGCACACCAGTGTCTGGTGAGGCCAGCTGGAACCATTCAGCACAAAAATTCCCCATGATTTCAGCACTCAGGTATCAGGAAATAGAGAGTAGCTCCCACGCCCATTCTGTCTGAGTGGCTTAGCATCCTAGTGCCATTGAATATAACTTGAACAGCTGCATCCAGCTGCTGGAGACCAAACTCTCAGAAAACCTGGTGGAACTAAAATCAGATAAGATGATCTATTTAATGCCACTGAACTTCAAATGCTGACTCCAAACCTGTGGACTCTGTATTAGCATTAATAATGATTTCCTTAAAATCGTTCAGTGGTTTGGATAGCTAGCTAAATCTCATGGAGAAGCCAGCTCTCTTTGCTTAGAAATGTGTACTTATGGCATTTACGCAAATGAGCCATGGACAAGATAAAGGCTTTATACTGGGTGCTTGAAAGGGCAGTAACCCTCGTGGCTAAAAGATACTCCAAGAACATTTCATGTGAGCAGATAAATGAGAAGGGCAGGCATTCAGATTAAATTCATGAAAGTTAATTCAAGACATGGTGATAATTTAAAGTCTTTTTTAAACATATGGTTCTTTTTAACAAGACATTCTACAAGGGTGTAGGAATTGAGATTTTAATTAAAATTTTACCTTGAACTCTGTTTTGTAAGAGGCAAGCAAAATCCTTGTCTTAGGTCATATGCTTTCAGAAGCAAACATAGAAGGGTTTAAATGTTAAGCAGTTAATTTGAGAGATGATTTTAGCAAGTATCACAAGAGGAGTAGGGAAGGAAGATAGACAGGAAAAGGAAAACAGCCACTACTGGGTGTGCTCATGAGCACATTCCACTGTGGGCAACCAAGATTCCGTTTTACTGGGGACCTCTGAACAATGCTGTCCAATACCGTAGCCACTAGCCACATCCTGCCAATGAGTAGTTGAAATGTGGCCAGTTTGAATTGAGATGTGTATGTAAAGTACACACCAATTTCAAAGTCAGTATGGAAAGAAGGAATGTAAAATATCTGACTTTTTATATGATTATATGTTGAAATAATATTTTGGATTATTGTATTATACAAAATATTATTTTACATTCTTCCTTTCACTTTGTTCAATGTAGCTACTAGAAAATCTAAAATTATATTTGAGACTCACATTGTGTTTCTACTAGGCAGCACTGGAATAGAACCTGTGTCAGATGTGGATATTGACCAACCAACTTCTGCCTATTATTGGCTGAGGGCTGCTCTAGAGAAATTAACTTTCTGGTGCTTTGAGTTTGCTCCCAGGGCCAGAGTAAAACACTTAGCAGAGAGTCATAAGGACTTTCCTTGGAAAGCTGTTGATGCTGTAAAATAAGAGCAAGAACCAAGGAGACATAAGTAGGGCGCCAACAGCCACTGCTACAGTTCCTCTTCTACCTCCTTTATTCCTGCTCCTGACTTTCAGATTCTGCTTTTCATGCCCTCTGAATCCATTGCATTTGGAAGTCCGAGGGAATGTTGAGAATCAGACATGTTTGGACTGGAGAATAGTAGATAGAAGCTATAATCGTTCCAATGGACTTTTATGATGAAAAGAAACTGGTATTATTTCCCCTTGAAGATAGATAGATAGCAGGCGGTGAGAGGAGGGAGAGAGATAGATATAACTTAAAAGGACCACTCCAATTACACCTCTTGTAATGAGATCAGAGGCATCAGAATTTAAGGAGCTCCCTGTTGATAGAGCTGCCCAGACTGAGCCTGTCAGTGATTTGTAGGGAGTTCTGGCATCAACACAAAATTAGGACCTCTGAGATACCTCTTAAAAACTGGCCACATTTCGTGGTCAAAACACTGATTGCTAAAATGGGGGACAAGGAGCTTTTAATCATACAATTAAGCTCTACATCCTTCTAATATCTGTTAGAATGAGAGAAAAAACAATTTACTGAATGCTTACTATGATCCAAGCACTGTATGAAACTTTAGGTATGTTATCTGATGTAATCCCCCAAACAAAACGATGTGGTAAGAATTATTGCCCCCAGAATTGTAAACTGAGGCTTATAGGAAATGATACTTGCCTAAGGTCAATAATTGATAGAGCTAGAATTGAATTCAGGTCTATTGATTCATGGATTCACTATCAAAGACATGTTCAGTGGCTACCTTAGGCCATAACCTGTGCATTTAACCAACAGATTTTCTTCATAACAACTGGGCTATATTGAGGACTTGGCATGCATCACAAATTTCTGATAACAAGAGCAAAATATAAAATGTGGAAAGTGTATTTCCAAAGATGGCCACTGCACTATTTTAGGTCTTAAATGCTCTACAGAACCACTCCCAGTGAAGACACTGAGTTCATTTTCATTTCCTCTTGAATAGTGGCAGGCTTGTGACTACTCCAAAGAACACAGTTACATGGAGTGATGCAGAGGAATGTCTAAGCCTGAGAACACAGCGTCTCCCTTTTTCCATGAGAAACTCATTTTGGAAGCTGGCCACATAAAGTGGCCAGGTACAAGTGCTAAGTGTTTTGGGAAGTTGCCCCAGCTAAGATTTTAGCTGACAGTTGAGATCAATCAATCAATCAATAGCCAGACAAGAGAGAGAATCTTGAGATGGTCCCAGCTCCCAGTTGTTGAACCTTCCTGCTGAGCCCCAAACCTTGTGAACAGGATGATTAAGTTATCTCTGCTGTACTCATGAGCATCACAAGTGGTTGTTTGCAGCTTACCCTAAGTTGTGGGGGTGATTTGTTATGTAACTATTAACTACAACATCATGTTCTATTATTTTTACCTTAGCTGTCAGGAAACTCAAGGTCAAATTTATTGCTTAAATACACTAACTGCATTAACCTTAAGTGTCAGCACAGCAACTACTTTTTTATAACACTGAGCATGTATTTCTATTTTAATCTTACTTTTGTCTTTGAAAAAATATGAAGTATACATAAACAACAAAATGACCCCTGCTTACCTACTAATAATAAAATTATAAATTTAATACCTGAATCTTCTTTCATTTCAACATCCTCCTCCTCTTCATTATCATCTGTTAAAAAATAGGAAAAAATACTCATATGAAAGTGAGAAACACAAAGTTCTAGTTGGATTAATAAAAAAAACCAGACTGTTAAAATACGCATTTCTATTGTCTTATATTATCATGCTGAGTTAAGAAAGTATACACATTAATGCACCATTTAAAACCTAGGGTTTACATTTCCTTTTAAAAATTATTATATTTAGCTTGGTGAGGTGGTTCATGCCTGTAATCCCAGCACTTTGGGAGGCTGAGGCAGGAAGATCACAAGGTTAGGAGTTTGAGACCAGCCTGGCCCATATGGTGACACCCCATCTCTACTAAAAATATAAAAAATTAGCCAGGTGTGGTAGTGTGTGTCTGTTATTCCAGCTACTTACTAGGCTGAGGCAGGAAAATCGCTTAAACCCATTAAGTGGAGGTTGCTGTGAGCTGAGATCGCGCCACTGCACTCCAGCCTGGATGCCAGAGTTAGTTAGACTCCAACTCAAAAAATGATTTATAACAAACTGTGCAATCAATCATTTACTTATACAAATTCTATATGGTCACTTCAGTAATTTCAATTGCTCAAAATTAAAAATCAGACTTCAAATGTCACATGTTCTTCTTTTGTTAAGGGTCTGCATGCTCACTTCAAGTATCTGAGAAGTATGGGCATCATTATTTGGTCATAGACCAACACATACCAAATCCCTGCACCACACCATGAAAAGTGCTGCTTTGCTGCACATGGAAATCCCAACCTTTACTCATGTGCTTTCAAGTGCTCCACCAGTTGCACCATTCCTATTTAGCTCCCCTCATCTCCCACTATTACAACCCCTTTTAACTAGACAAGGACATGTGATTCCTCGGCACTGTAGATGGCATGCTTGCTTTTTTGAACTTCTGACATTGTCATCTGTCTCTCTTGTTCTCCACATCCATTGCTATGATGTGAATCTCTGTGTCACCCCCAAAATTCATATGCTTACATCTTTTTTTGAAGAAGAAGTAAATGATTTTATTTTTTTTTCTATTTTATTACATTTTAGGTTTCGGAGTACATGTGAAGAACATGCAAGATTGTTGCATAGGTACACAAGTGGCAGTGTGATTTGCTGCCTTCCTCCCCATCACCTACATCTGGCATCTCTCCCCTTGCTATCTCTCCAAGGTGATTGATTATAAGGTGAGGCCTTACAGAGGTGATTAGATCATGAGGGCAGAGCCTTCATGGATGGGATTAGTGTCCTTAGAAAAGATACCTAAGAGAGACCTCTCACCCCTTCCTCCGTGTATAGACACAGGGAGAAGATGGCTCCCTATGAGGAAGAGGGCCCTCACCAGACACCGACTCTGCCAGCACCTGGATCTTGGACTTCCAGCCTCTAGAACTGTCAGAAATAAATTTATGTTGTTTATAAGTCACCGAGTCCATGATATTTTGTTATAGCAGCCCAAATGGACTAAAATATCAGCCAGCGCCAAATCTCCTGTTTCTATATTTGCTCCTCTCTCCTCACATTATTGCAGTACAAATTCAGACTCCCAGTGCCATTTGCCTTAGCTATTTTAGCAGCTTCCTAACGGTTCCTCTCTCTTTCTCTCTCCTGGATCTCATTCCTTTTACACGTGGCTGCCAAATCAATCTTAAAATACAGCTCTGATCTGGTTCACAACTGTTCAGTGACTGCCCTCTGCCTAATGAGAAAAGTCTAGACTCTTCCTGGTAACACTCAAGGCCAATGATACCTGGTTCCAAACACTCTTCTCAGTTTCACCTCCTCTGTTACATGCAGACTACCACCTGCATGGATGGCAACACTGAACTCTTCTCTGTTCTCTCAAGGTCCCCTTCAGCTTCCTCTACCTGCCTTGGTCCTGCTAGCAATGCCCTTCTCCATCTCTATTCACTTTCATCCTTCAAGTGCAGGCTTGGGTGCCATAGCGTCTGATTTCCCCAAGTTTGAATGAATCATGTGCTCTTTGATGTACCTTATTTTTACTGCCTTCCTCGTATGGACTTTAAATACACATGGGCTTAGGTTGGCATCCCGGCACCTCCACCCATCCATCTCCTGGTCATGCAATCTTGGAGAAGTTACCTGAATCTGCCTGAGCTTCAGGTTCATCAGCTGTATAGTTGGATAATAATGATGCCCACTACATAGAGCTTTTGTAAGGATTAAATGAGATAATGCCGTGTAAAGCACTAGGGCAGCTACTGAAACCTTGTTAAGTGCTAAATATTAGCTATTATTATAATAAAATCACGCAGTCTACTTGTTAATTTATCATCTCTTTCAAATATTCATCTCCAGACCATAAATTCTGCAAAGATGGAGACCAGGTATTATGTTCCTGTAAATTCCCTGCCACTTAATGCCATTCATTTTATATACTAGAATCAATAAAGAAATGTCCACTGAATTAAATTTATATTATTTTCTATGTGCCTTATGCATATTAGCTATATGATGCTCTGTAAATAATGGGAAGTCAGTGAAGATTTGCAGCGTCCTCCTAAATGTGTGCTTTGTAACTTGTCATTCCAGGCAAATTTACTCAGTATGGCCCTCTTCTAAGAATCAATTATCAATAAAGAATACAGGTTTATTAGCCAAAGCAGAAAATGCCTTTAATTTGAGGTTTTAGAAAGGCAATTCTTGGTGACTATAGTTAACTTTTAAAAAAGTATTTTTTTGGTGATTTTCACATGATTTTTTATTCATTATATGAATGCAGTTTAGAAGGAAGAATAGCAATTTCTTAGAAATATAATTTTCTAACCAAATGATTATCAAATTATTAGTAACTACACTTCATAGATTCTTCCCTGTACTTAATATCTTTAAACAGAATTTTATTTTACAAAGCCATCTAAAATCTGTATGACAACAGACTCTCCAGAATCTCAGAGAAAGAGATGAAAAAGGGTCTACAATTTCTGGGAAAAAAATAAAGGGAGAGTCAAAGATCCCTTTGCTTGTCACTCACATTTCCATTATTCACCTGGCAAACACTCATTGGTAGCCTATTATGTACAAGCCTTTATATTTGGGGCTGTAGAAACACCAAGGAGAATGGAGACTTGAGCAGTTTTGTAGACTCTCACCAGTAGTAAAGAAACTAAGACATGTGGATACATTCCGACATAGGGTAGTCAGTGTTGTTAAAAAGGTGTCAGAGAAGGGATTGATGCTCTTAGCTATGCTACTTGGAAGTCTTCTTGTAGAACAAGACATTGAAGCTGATATTTGTGCTATATAGACTGTCCCAATAACATCATCCCCCAGAATGATTCCTATGTGTGGAAGGTTCAGGCTTGGTGTTAATTATTCATTAATTTCACTCATGCACTGATTTAGTCATACAGTGATTAAGAATCTGTTCAGAGTCTGGACTTAGACTGGTTTGGTTTACTTCCAGGTCAAACTACATATAACTAGGTGAATACTGGGCAAGAAGAATATCAGAATATTTTCCCCTGAAATATGGAGGACCTTCCCCTCACCCCAATCTCTCAATCACTTGTCTCTCACAAAGCACAGGATGAAGATTTTCTCTGAAGTTCCCTTATCTATCTAGAAACAGTACCCCCCAAAAGAAACACAATTGCCTTCCATCTTCTTCCTGGAATCTCATTATCTTTGCAGAAAAGCAAGCTGAGAATGCAAGCACACCTGGACAGATTTTTTTCACAAGATAATGTCTGCCTCTTGGGCTCATTCAAATTCCAAAGAGAATCATTTACAAGTTAATTTTTGTCTCCTGGGTCCATTCATTCTTCCTAATAATCATTTATTGCTCCTCAAAAAAATTGTCTACTTTCGCTATCCCCTCCCCTATGAAGAAGATATAAGATTCTGTGCCCCATTTAGCGAGTGTATAATCATTCTCACGCAATGTTCCATGCTTATGAATGTTAAAATAATTTTGCATGCCTTTTCTACTATTAACCTGCCCTTTGTCAGTTGATTTTTAGTGAACTTCCAGGGGGCAAAGGGGAAGTTATACTTTGCCCTCCTCATAATACCTATATGTCGGGGATTTTTTTATCTGAAAAATAGGAATAATAAAATTACCAACTTCTTAGGGTTAGAATTATATGTCAAGTGCTTACACAGAATGAGCATTCAATAAATACTGATTATTACTATTAAGACCATCCTTGCAAAAATTGTTATAATGAGAGAAATCTGATATAAAAAGTATGAAAACTGGCCAGCCATGTTTTGAAAGCTGAAACTGGACCTCTTTCTTACATCTCATACAAAAATTAACTCCAGATAGATTAAAGACTTACACATAAGACCTAACACCATAAAAACCTTAGAAGAAAACCTAGGCATTACAATTCAGGATGTAGGCATAGGCATAGGCAAGGACTTCATGACTAAAACACTACAACACAATGGAAAAAAAAGCCAAAATGGACAAATGGGATATAATTAAACTCCAGAGCTTCGGTACAGCAAAAGAAACAATCATTAGAGTGAACAGGCAACCAATAGAATGGGAAAAATTTTTTGCAATCTACCCATCTGACAAAGGGCTAATATCCAGAATCTACAAAAAACTAAAATTTACAAGACAAAAACCTCATCAAAAAGTGGGCAAAGGATATGAAGTCTCTTCTCAAAAGAAGACTTACACAGCTAACAAACATATGAACAAATGCTCATCATCACTGGTCATTAGAGAAACGCAAGTCAAAACCACATTGAGATACACCATCTCATGCCAGTTAGAATGACGATCATTAAAAAATCTGGAGAATAATAGTGGGAGACTTTAACACTCCACTGTCAATATTCGACAGATCAACGAGACAGAAAATTAACAAGGATATCCAGGAGTTGAACTCTGACCTGGATCAAGCAAACCTAATATCTGCAGAACTTTCCACCCCAAATCCACAGATTACATATTCTTCTCAGCACCACATCACACCTACTCTAAAACTGACCACATAATTGGAAGTAAATCACTCCTCAGCAAATGCAAAAGAATAGCAATCATAA